TATATTTTTTTTTTTTTCCAGGAATTCCACAAGGTTCCCAATCCTAAATCAGTTATTATGGTACATGGGTGACATCACATTTATTCACACTTTTTTTTTGACAAATGCACACACGTGCATGTTAAATAAAGAGGTATTATTTTGTCCCACATACAATCCTAAGGTCATGAAATAATTTTTATAAGACAAAGCAGCAGGTAACACAGGGAATGGGAAAAAAAATATTACCTGGGTGTACTAACAGATAAAACACACTGAATGAGGTGATATTTTTTATTATTCATGTTACATATTAGGTGTTTTAATGCAGAGTATACATGTACAAATGTAATTTCTCCAAAAATACACAAAACTGAACTTGGACTTGACTACTAATCAGAAAAAGGAGGATTATCTCTCCCCAAATAAAAGTTGCATCTCAATAATGATGTCTTTATTTTCTCCGCTTCGGTTTAAAACTAATCTGGTTGAATTCCACCTAGAGTATAACCTATAACAAGCACTTGACGGGTAGAGACGTACCATAAAAAACACACAATTACATTCATCACCATCGCGTAGAAAGGTTCAACACACGCCTTCCTAATACACTACAGTCAAATAGTTACTGAGGAGGATGAAAACTGCAACATCATTCCACTGGCTAAAAACGTACGCAGGAGATAATTCAATGTAGAGGTTGGAGTTTAAATAAAATCAGATTTGCATTGGTTTATTATAACAGTATAAATGTTGTATTTGTCTTTTGCTTCCCCCCCAACTAAACCTGTAATAGTCTTTTTTCAGTGATAAAACTGACAAACATACATTGTGCAAGTTTTATCGAACAGATTGCTGAAATAAACCTCTGTATAAAATATAAACTCTGAAACTCGCAGCACAGTATTCTAGATTTATGTGACCTGTTTGCACAAAGGTAAAATCCTACTACAGCACCCCACATGCCTCTAAAAACACATCTGAGAAGAAGGGGCATGATCAGTCAGGTACTGACTTATGAATTCACATTAAATGCAATAGTGTACCTTTCAAAGTATAGACTGTAAGACCCTGGAAGATTCTGTGGGTTTCAGTTAGGAGACAGGCCTGTCAGTGTCTTCAGTACCTGTACTGTAACTATGAATGCAAACTCCCTACAACATAAACTCAACAACAGCAGTAGCAGAGCGGCTGGACCTTTAGATTTAACACTCATAAAATAAAACACATTCTCTCAAAATAATTTCCATTCCCATTACTTCAAACTGAACTTTTTTGTCGGTTGTGTGCAATATACAGTTAAAAACACTATTCAACATTATAACTGGCCCTTGGTGGGTGTATCTGTCCACTTATAGAGAGCCATCCTCTTATTTAGCAGTAATATGGCCTTGTTCATCTCTCATTTGTTTGGCCACCTGACAGGTACACAACCCATATAGGCACTATGCAACCACGTCGAAAAAGTAAAATAAAGTTTTTTGAACATAGCAATATACTGTGAATATATAATTCAATCTATAAAACAACAGCCCTCTTGTGGCTCCTAGTTCTAATACATATATTAGTCTAAGTGTAAATTATGTATGACAAAATCTAATATAACAAATAGGTACCTCCATAGTAACACGTATACAATCTCATATTAACATACTGCAATGAGAAAAAATACAAAAGCCTCCACAGAATTTGTTGTATTTGGAGCCAAAGTCAGCTGGAAGGGCCTGGAGAATCTAGCTGAAATCCATCAACTGCCACTGCTACAGTGCTCCCAAGCAAGGCATTAAACTACCTTCTGTGTGGGCAGCAATATACTGTAAGCCTGGCAGCAGTGCTCCAACTCTTCTGGACAATAAAAGTTTACTGCTTTTTCACAAGCTGCCCGTAGCCTCCACCCGGCTGCCGCCGTGCCTCCCGCTGATGACAGACCATTTATCACTGCTAATTTTCTGGGCTACTTTTCTCACTGAACTCCATATGAACAAATAACCATTAGCTGATGAATGAGCAGTTATAAAGTGAGGGTTGATGGAAATGTGGGGTTGCCTACTTGAGGGTTCAACTCTTTTGTTACCTTTGGAAAGAACAAACAAGGAAAATTTAAAACTTCCTCTTTATTTACATTTCCTACTGAACCCCAGCTTGGTGATTTGAACCAGGTCACTTATATGTTGAGATGTTTGGACTATATTTAAGCTAAATTTGGTTTGAGAAAGGAACAATTTTGGTATAGCAATCACTGTTTCAATAGCAATTAAATGATCATGAGTCAGTGAAGTATGTTTTTTAAAATTTTTTAAAGGTAACATTAAAAATTAAAACGTCCAATTATGGATCATGTATTTATTTACTATTAATTAAGAAGTGAAAAAGCAGTGATCTTTCTTTTCATTTTGTCTATTATACTTTGTCTTTTCTGCAGTGCTGTATATTAAGTTATGAGTGCTCATGTTCTTCCTAACGTGGCCCACACATTAACAAATCATCAGGAAGTTTAAATAATTTCCCTCATCACTGTAAAACATGATAAATGCAAAGGCATATTCCAAAGTTAACAGTACAAATATTAGAGAAACACTAGCAAAGAGGAACATTTACTAACGAGTAGTGAGGTTATAATCATGTAGAGGTGATACTATGAGAGC